GAGCTGGCGCGGGCGGCGCGGCGCCGTGCTTGGGGCGGGAGGGCGGACAGCTTGATTATGAGCCACGCTGGCTGGCAGGCGCGGCGCCCCGCCGGCTGGCGCTTGGGGCCCTGGCCCAAGCTGTCGCGACGGCAAGCTGCTCCCCAGAGCCCCAGAGCCCCAGAGCCCCAGCGCCCCAGAGCCCCAGAGCCCCAGAATCCTTGGAACCTCGGGAAACCCCAAACCCCAGCCTCACGTGTGAAGAGCTGGAGCTCGTACACGCTGGGGCTGCTGGAGGTCACGGGCACGGCGGCGGGGCAGCACATGGAGTCTGCCGGGTTGCAGGGGCGGGTCGTGCTTAGGGTGATGCAGAACCGGGAGTAGCTCGTGCCCGCGGGGTTCTTTTTGCCGCCGGGGACGGTCACGGTGGTGTTGGTGAAGTCGAATTTGGCGTCGAAGGAGTGCTTGCAGGGGTTGGTCTCGCCGGGGAGGTTTCGGGTCGAGTAGCACTGCGGCACCACGACTGGGGGTGTGTGCGGGGGGGGGGGATTTTTGGGGGGCGTCCCCGGCGCGGGCGTGTTGGAGATTGCGTTCGGGGCCGGGGGCAGGGCCGGCGGGGGCCGTGGGCAGGCGCGAGGCCGCAGGCGGGGCGAACGCCTGGGGGAGTCTGGGCGCGGGCGCAGGCGCGGGCACCGGGCGGGGGGCGTCTGGACGAAGCTGCCGCATGCGGGGCGTGGTTACGGCCGCCGGAGCGCGTCCCACGCGGGTGCTGAGGCACGCAGGGGCTGCAAGGAGCTCATACATGATTCTTTATGGCCCCAGGGATGGGATGGAGGGTGCTTTGGGGGGAGTCAGCGGGCAGCCGCATCACACCTTGCGCGGACGCATCGCCGGACAGCAAGGCGACGGCTGCTGCAAGCAGCAGCAAGCTCCAGCGAAGGCCCATGGTGAGTTAAGCCACGTTTTAGGGGTATTCGATGGCTCGTCACTGTCGGTCACGCGGTGGCGCACAAAACGGGTGGGTACTGAATTCTTTTCGATGCACTGGAGGTTTTGATGGAGTCGCAGGTAAAATGCGAACCAATATATGGGTGTACAAATTGACGGCGGGCTTTTGTTTGCGAGTGAGCTGGGTCGGGGGGCCGGAACGAACAATCGACCCCACTACTACTCTCTCGCGAGAAGTGCAGAGTTCGTGGTTACGGGGGATCTCGGCACAGCAGCTCGCAGCAACAGCTAGGTGTGGATTCGATATTTGTAAGATGTATTAGCATGCGCCAAAGCCACGGGCAGGCGGCGGCACACCAGTGCCATCGGCACGTAGGCGAGGTGACCGCAAGATGACTGGCCAGCAGGGTGAATGCACGGCCGCCGCGGAACATTCACCCGCTGCGCCGCGGCCCGCTCGTGCAACGACTTTGAAGTGGCCGGGCTCAACACCTCATGCCTTCACCAAGCCGCCGCGGGCGCCGCTGCCCGGGCAAACCGCCAAACCGCTCCCGCCAGATGATCGCGCGCACTCGCAGCCCCCGTGGTACAAAGAATTTCGCGCTTCCCGCAGGCCCAAATGGGCATAACGCAGGCATGCCCCTCTTTTCAAACCGTGCCGGCCGGTTGTTTTATTGCCTCATTTGCCGAGAACATGCACTCACCCGCCACTCGCATACACGCTTGCCGCCCGAGCCGCCCCCGAGGCGGCGCGGTGCCCCGGCGTTAGTCAGAATGATTGGGAACGTCCGGGCTGGTCAAAGTAAGGCCCGCTGTGCCTTCTGGCGCCCCGGCCACCGTGGCGTGGCCGCTCGACGCCGCGCCAACTGCCGCTGCGGCGCGCATCATCCCGCAACGCTGGTTGGTTGCAGGTATGCGATCCGCGGCCGGCGCGGCGCCAAGCCCCAGGGCACATGCTGCTGCTGCGCCGGCCGGCGCGCTGCACACCGCATCGCCTGCGACCCGCAGCTCCCCGGGTGAGGTGGCCCAAGGTACACTGTGTCACAATGGATCCGCCAGCGGGGCGCTGCATTGAGGTGCATGGCGCTGCCGGCGCCGCCTTTTCGCAATACAGATAATGCCCCAGCACACCTAGGCCTCTCGCCTTGCTGCGGGAGCGAATTGCAGCCGACACGCCTGCTGTAGACTGCAAAAATTGTTGCAGGCAACTTGATGACGGCCCAACACCCCTCCCAAACCTACCCAAGGCGCTGCATTTGCAAGGGCGCCGATGGCAATGCATCTTTCAACTGAGACAAAGCTTGTGTGATTTCCCCTCCACAGGCGACACAGACACTGCGGCCCGCATCAATGGGTGCGCGCGCCCCCCTTGCCGTCGCAGCCGCCCTGCCCTGCTGCAGGTGGACTCCAACTTTTGGTTACCAGAGGCGCAGTTTTGTATTCGGTTCCACTGCCCGTGTGATCAATGGTGCGTGTCAGCATAACTGGTGCCACCAGTGGTTGACGCGACATCGCATGCTCACATGTACTTAAGAGTAGCGGACCGCCCGGAGAAACGGGGCGTCTCGGCCTGTTTTTCCTGCGTGGCTTTGTTCAATAAGCTTGTGTTGCTCCGCAAAAGCAGGCTTCGCAAGACAACGGCGCAGGGATGCAGGCGGCAGCCTCGGTTTGCTGGCGTTGAGAAGCCGCTGCTGTGGACGCTCGCCCTCGCGTCCGCAGCCACAAACAGACTCAGCATGCCAGTGGAACGGGAGGGCTGGATAGGGTCCGGCTGCCGGCTACCGATGAGGCGGGGGGCTGGGTCCTAACAACCTTCCAAGGAACCGTCGCAGGCCGCGGGCTGTGAACCCACGTTTTTCCAGGCCGGGGCTGCAGGTTCACCCCGAAGGCCACCAACCCTGGGAGCAACATCGCTCGCGGCGGGGCAGCAGAGCTGTCTCTTTTCGACGGCTGCTTTGCATTTGGATCCGCATGAGCGCCCCGCGGCCTGTATGCCTCACCATGCAAAGTGGTGACCGTCATGGCAGCGTCAGCCCTTGCCCACATGAGCGCCCTCTGTTTGCCGCCCTCGCCATCCAGGCCGGATGGCTCAGCTGTCTATTTGCTCTTACATTACATCAAAGCTGTGTTAGGGGCGTTGCGAGTGGACAGAAAGCGTCCGGGCGCTTGAGGTGGTGTTTGCTCAACGTCGTTGCTCATCAGCAACACTTGCATCATTGCATCGCCACACTGCCGGCCGCGTACCACGCATGCCTGTCTGACACGGTACATTGTATATTTCAGCACGTACCATATCACGAGTCATTGCAACAGCGAGTTTGAGGCAATCTACATGATTGATTCGCGCACTACACAGATCGACTGTTGTGCGAAGCATTTTTGAAAAGAGATCCGCGGCATTGTTTTGTCAATTCTGCGTTTATTCGTTCTGCTCGGGCGGCGGGCTGGCTGCATGCTTTGTGCTGCAAGGCGCCGGCACTAATCAGCAGCCCCGAGCGTGTGCCCAGCGCCTTGAGGGCAGCGTCGGGGGCGCTGCATGCTGCCAACTGCAGCCCACGAGGCGGCCCCGACGTGCTGCCCAGCCAACTCCTGTCTACAGTAGCGCCGGCCTTGGGGCGCCTAGGGCCATGGCGGCGGACGGGGCGGACGGGCGGGCGGTCGCCGACGGTGCTGCGGATGCCGCCATCAGGGCAGCCGCAACCGAGCTGGTTCAGAGGGCAGACCGCAGCCACGCGCTGCCAGACGGCCGTGTGCTTTCATATGTGGACTGCGGCGACTCGGAAAGCGCGGACTGCGTCCTGTTTCTGCACCCAGTCCAAGCAAACAGGTGCATGAGTGCGGGGACAGTGGCTGCGGCAACGCGTTGGGTTTAAACATGTTCCATTGTTTTTGCCAGGCTGAGGCCAAGCAGAGTGCAACAGATGCAGTGGGGGGCGGCAGCCGGGGGGAAGCATGCCGCGTTGCTTGGGCCAGAGAAGGGCCCAGCGCCGTTGCAGAACCACATTGGGAGAGTCGCGAAACTTAGCAGCGCGAATCTGGTGGCAGCGCTACGCTAGTTGGGGTAGGGAGAAGACAGAGATGCAGCGGTGCGGCTGCTGGGCGGACAGGGTCGGCGACGGAAGCTCGATCGTGGAGCGACGGGGCGCTGCTGTTGCCAAGATATTGATTCTCGGCTCGGCAAGGTCACCACCTCACATGAGTCATCTGCGCCAGCCGGCCGCGCCGCTGGGCTTGCGCGTGGGCGGGTACGCCGGCCCCAGCCGCCTCCTGACTCAGAGTGCAACGCGCGAGCGCAACCCCGCCTCCCCCTTCCTGTAGAGCACCCTTTGCTGTCCCATGCTCGATCCCGCCCTGCCCTTGAGTGGGCGCGCTTCCCTCACGGCAGCGGGGGCGCTTCTGTCGTTGCGGCCGCAGCACTCAGCTTGCGTAAATTGTTGACCGCCTTCAGTTCCTTGGAACGACTTCTGTCCTGCAACCGTCCTCCAACCACCTCCAACCCCCGCCCCAGGTTCATGGCCCTCGCCTTCCACGCAGCTGCCGTGCGGCTTCGCCTGCGGCTCGTTGCCCCCGACCGGCCAGGGTACGGCGGCTCCACCCCTCAGCACGGCCGCACCGTCGCGGCGCACGTCCAAGACCTGGCGCACCTGATGGGGACTTTGAAGATCCCGAGGTTTGGCGTCCTGGGGTCCTCGGCCGGCACGATGGTGCGTGGGCGGGGATGGACGTTCAGGCGCTTCTTGTTGCTCGGGCTGGGGTGTTGCTGGCGTGGAATCTTAGTCATCTGGGGCCCGGGAATCCCGGCTTCAGAGCGCACCCCAAGCCAGACAGCCGGCAGCCGCCTTGCTTGAGGTTGAGTCCAGGCATGCCACTGCATATGTTGACCAAAGTTTGACCTGCTGTTTACAGCGGCTTCGCAGCGCCGCGCCCACGTCCATTCCGTCAGTGTCGACTCGGTCGTATAGCAATGCATAGTCGTCCTGACCCGGCCTGGCAGCCCTCAGCCGCCACCACCTCAATCACCCGCCCGACGCAGTACGCCCTGGCGCTGACGCTCGACCCGGTGACCCGCCCTATGGTGGCCGGCCGCGTCACCCTGCTGCCCCCCTGGATCCCGCCCGCGTCGCTGGCGCCCGGCATCCGGGCACCCTGGAGCCTCCGGCTGCTGTCACTAGTGCCGGCCGCGGTGACGGGCCTGCTCATAGGGTTTACTAACGGCTTAGTCGCAAAGAAACTGGCGGGTGACGGCGTCAGGGTGGCTGACATCATGACGCGATCAAAGCCGGTGGGTGGGATTGTGCAGGGTCGGGCGGCTGCGAGCGCGCCGGGTGTTGAGGGCGGCAAGGGTGGTCAGAGGTACAGACGTTCCGAGCCGTGCTGTGCAGGCGTGCAGACGTTTAGGCAGGCTGGAGCTGTGCTGAGCTGCGCGGTCGCCGGCGGGCTGGCACGGGTCATTCGGACCCCCTGCTTTGCTGCATGGCCCGCTGCCCGGCTCCCCGCCCCTGATGTAACGCGGCCGCATGGCGCCCGGCGGCCGTCCGATCGTCTTCCACCCACAGCACGAGGTGTCTGCATTCCTGGAGGATCCTGCAAACGACGTGTACTACCGAGCGCTGATCTCCGAGTGGCGCCGCCCCGGCGCGCCGGCCGGCACAGCCGACGAAATGCTCCTCTGCGCGGGCGCGGCCGGCGCCACGCGCGGCCTCGGGTTCTCCTACATAGAACACGTCGAGGCGCCGGTGCGGGTGTTCGCGGGGGTGGAGGATTCGCTCGTGAACATCGAGCACGTGCGGGCGTGGGCGGCCGCGGCGGGCGGGCCGGGGAGGGTGGAGGTGGTGGAGGCGGAGGGGGGGACGCATGATGGGGTCGTGCACACCCACAAGGCCGCGGCGCTCGCGGCGTTGGCGGGGGACTTGAGGAGTGCGGCCGGCGGGGCGGAGGGGCGGGAAGGCGGCGGCGCCGGCTGATTGGGGGAAGCAAATCGGCACCAAGTTATTCCTTGTTTATGATATGAAGTATTGGAAAGCGAGATTGATGATTTGGTGGCGGGCCGCATGCAACGGGCTGTGAGAGCATTGAGTGTGTAATGGCATGCTTCGTGTACTACTGGCTACGGGTTGGTAGGCAGATGATGACAGGATTTCAGAACCCCAAAGGGTGGCGGAGGGAGAAGGGAGGAGGGGTGAGGGAGGGGGGAGACTTCGTCGGCGTGCAGGGAAGGGAGTTGCAGCCCGAGCTGTCTGTCACAGGCCTGTTGTGGCTGCGTCAAGCGCACCTGCTCAAACTTTCAACAATTCCGATGACCCAGCATTAGCCCGCACACATGGGGACCTGGCAAGTCCGCCACGGCCGCAACACCCAGGCTGCACTGTGCAGGACGAAAATTCTAGGAGGGGAGACAGGTGGTGACGACGCAAGCCGGTAGCCATGTGAGACCGCTGTCATGATTGGTCGAGACCTATTTGTTTTTTATGCAATTGTGACCGCAAATCGCTCAGCGCAGTGCTTTCTCAAGATCAGACTCGGAACGGTCTTGGGCAGCCCAGCTGTGTATAGCCGCCCTAATCAGAGACCCCACTACCCCTTATAGCAGCAATGGCAGAGGCCCATCTAAAGCAGGAGCTATCGATTCTGCTGGGCTGGGACCCCATGATCATCGACTCAGTGGTGCAGAACATTTTGCAGGCGCAATCCTTGAACGATGTAATGGATATCGTTGAGGTGCGACACTTGCCTGAGGGGGAGGGCCATTGCAAGCTCAGCTGGGAAGAGCTGCGCATGCGCTGCGCGTGCTGCTGCTGCTTCCCACGTCGCTGCTCATCAGCAGGCAGCGCCCTCGCGACTGTTCCCTGCGGCCGCCCACAAAATCGGCCGCAGCCACGTACGTACGCCGGCCCGGTGCACTCACGCGGCACACCCGCTGCGACTTGCCTTTGCCCGTGGGCGTCGTTCGTACGGCTAGCCGTCCAGAGTTGGTCAAGTCCACCCCCCTCCCCTCGGCGCAGAATTTCATGGGGGGCAACAAGGCCGCCGTTGCAGCGATCAACAAGTTCATGGCCGCGCGCAACGGCGGCGGCGGCGGCGGCAGCGGGGCCAGCGGCGGCGGCGGGGCCGGCGGTGCGCGTGATGGTGGGGCCAGCGGTGCAGTGAGGAGTGGCGGCGGCGGCGGAGGAGGAGGCAACCGCGGCGCGACCCCCGGCTACACGCCGCAGATTGCTGCGCCGCCCTCGAAGCAGCAGCGCAGCTTCCAAAATGTGCAGCCGCCGCAGCAGCAGCAGCAGCAGCAGCAGCAGCAGCAGCAGCAGGGACAGCAGCAGCAGCTTGTGGGGCCGCCGTCCCCTGCCGGCGCGGCCAAAGGCGCCGACCGGTGGTTGAGACTCGGGCGCGACAGCAGCGCCGCGGCGGCGGCGTCGGCGGCGGCGCAGCGGGACGAGTCCGGCGGCGGCGGCGGCGGCGTCGACGCGGCGGCGGCAGCGGCGTCAATGGCGGCGGCGCAGGCGACGCTTGCGATGTTTAGGACTGGCGGAAGGATCAAGCCAAAGTCGGGTGAGTGGGCTTGGACCTGCGCATTCATATGCCGCGCACGCGCACGCGTGCATGTGACTGTGTGTGTGTGTGTGTGTGTGTGTGTGTGTGTGTGTGTGTGTGTGTGTGTGTAGGGAGAGAGTTAGTTCGTGCGTGTTGGCGGTAGGAAATGCGGCGCCCGACACATACACATGCTGCTGCGACATAGGCGAGGAAACAATGCTTGGATCTGCAGCAAATCCAAATCGCACCAGCCAGCAGGCGCCAAACGGGGCGGTTTGAGGGGCTCTTTCGCCCATTGCGACTCCCCCCTGCCTCCCACCCCCTATCAACGCGCCTCGCGGCTGCACCCGCGCAACCCCTGCCCTCGCCCCCGCCCCAGGCGCCCGCGGCGCCGCCGCGGCCGCCGCGGCCGACCCCGCGGCAGCGCTCGAGCGGGCGGTAGTGAACTGCCTGGGGTGCGGGAAGATCTACGACTGCCGGGCCCTCGGGAATGATGTCATCGCGTTCCTTAGTGAGCGGCCGGCCTAGGGGTCGTTTTCGAACGGATTTGAACGGGTCCAAACGAGTTCAAAAAGCAGACCGCGGGCCGGGCCTCGAGATGCTCGCAGTGCTGCTGCTGTGGCTGCCAGCGCGGTCCACGCCGTCGGTGATGAGGCTTGGGCGCGTGGCGGCAGTACATCATAAGATGCGACACTTCCCTCTCCCCCCCCACACACACACATGCACAAAACACACACACGCACCAAGCACCACCCCTTCTCGACCACCCGCCGCCCCACGTCTCACCCCACAGGATCAGGCGGCATCTGCACTTTCTGCGGCACAAAGGTAGCCCTCACATACCGCGGCGGGCCCC